AAAAAAAAAAAAAAAAAAAAAAAAAGGAAAAAAGAATTTTAAATAACGACGAAAATCTAAGAGAGCTAGCAGACAACCTTAAGTGCACAAACATTCAAATCATGGGTATTCCAGAAGGGGAGGAGAAAGGAAAAAGGCATGTAAAACCTAGTCAATGAAATAATAACAGAAAAGGAAAACTTCCCAGGTATAGGGAGAGATGAGGACCTTCAGGTCCAGGAGTCTCAAAGAGCCCCAAACAGATTCAACCCAAAAAGATCCTTTCCAAGACACATTATAATCAAACTGGCAAAGCTCAAAGACAAAGAGAGAATCTTAAAAGAAGCAAGAGAAAAGCTTCAAGTCACCTATAAGGGAGCCCCATCAAACTAATAGCAGACTTCTCAACAGAAACTCTGCAGGCCAGAAGAAAATGGCATGATATATTCAAAATACTAAAAGAAAAAAAAAACTGCCAGCCAGGAATACTATATCCAGCAAGGCTGTCCTTCAGAAATGAGGGAAATATAGTCTATTTCCTAGACAAACAAAAGCTGTGGGAGTTCATCACCACACAGACAGCCCTGCAAGAAATCCTCAAGGAAGTCCTGCGTCTAGAATCTGAAAAACAATAACCACTACTATGAATACACAAGAAAGAACAAAATCCACTGGTAGAACAAAAATGCAAATGAGAAAGAGAAAGAAACCTAATCTTACCACCACAAAAAGCCATAGTGACAATGTAACAATGCCCTCACTTTATTTCTGATTTTAGTAATATAAGTCTTCTGTTTTTTCTTTGTCAGTCTAGATAAAGGTTTGCAGATTTTGTTGATTTTTTTTCAAGAATCAACTTTTGGTTTTGTTGATTTTCTCTATTGTTTTTTAATTCCCTATTTCATATGTGATGGAGAATGGATACATTGTCTTCCCAGAACTCATGTGGAAATCCGATCCCTAATGTAGCAGCATTGGGAGCTGTTTGAGTCATGGGAGCAGACCCTTCATGAATGGATTAATGCTCTCCCTGGGGAATAGNACACAAGAAAGAACAAAATCCACTGGTAGAACAAAAATGCAAATGAGAAAGAGAAAGAAACCTAATCTTACCACCACAAAAAGCCATAGTGACAATGTAACAATGCCCTCACTTTATTTCTGATTTTAGTAATATAAGTCTTCTGTTTTTTCTTTGTCAGTCTAGATAAAGGTTTGCAGATTTTGTTGATTTTTTTTCAAGAATCAACTTTTGGTTTTGTTGATTTTCTCTATTGTTTTTTAATTCCCTATTTCATATGTGATGGAGAATGGATATATTGTCTTCCCAGAACTCATGTGGAAATCCGATCCCTAATGTAGCAGCATTGGGAGCTGTTTGAGTCATGGGAGCAGACCCTTCATGAATGGATTAATGCTCTCCCTGGGGAATAGGGGTAGTGGGTGAGTTCTCACTCTATTAGTTTCCATGAGAGCTGGTCATTTAAAAGACCCTGGCACCTCCCTCTCTCTCTCTTGCTTCCTCTCACCATGTGATCTTATTGTACCTGCCGGCTGCCTGCCACTTTCTTCCATGAGTAGAAGAAGCCTGAGGCCCGTGCCAGATGCAGTTGTCCCAGAATTGTAAGCCAAATAAACCCCTGTTCTTTATATATTAACCAGTCTCAGGTATTCTGTTATAGCAACACAAAACGGACTAATACATTTCTGTTGTGATCTTTGTTATTTCCTACTTATATTTGCTTTGGTTTAGTTTGTTCTACTTTTTCTATTTTCTTAAGGTAGAAGTTTACATTCCCGATTTGAGATTTTTCTTNTTTTTGATATAGGTGTTTACAAGTATAAATTTTCCTCTAAGCACGACATGAGACCTTCATCCTAAAAATTTTGATATCTTGTGCTTTGATCTTTGTCTCAAAGTACCCTCTAATTTCCCTGTGATTTTTCTTTTTACCCATTGTTTATTTAGGAAAGTGTTGTTTAGTTTCCACAAATCTGTGAAATTTCCTTCCATTATATATGTTGTCAGAGAAAATATTTTCTATGATCTCAGTCTTCTTAAATGTATTAAGACTAGTTTGTGGCCAAAAATTTTTTTTAAAAAAAAGAAAGAAAGAAAAGAGGTTTGTAGCAAAATGTCCTAACATATATGACAGAATCACTGAGTATATTATGAGCACATTTGGCAAAGTAAATAGACATGCATGAAACATTAGGTGGAAACGTATTACATTTCCTTAAACTGTATTTGATCTACAAAAATGGCATTTTTATATGGTTTACTCTAGTAGCTAAAAGGATGAATAAGAAACTACAGAGAGGAGAACTGGGGAACTGGGAGACATATGAGAGGCAGACTTATTTTTCTCCATATATTCTTTGAAATCCAAGGACCTTTTTACCATATGCATATATTACTTGTTCCAAAACATTAATATAAAACGTTTTAAGAGGAGAAAAAAGAAAAATACATGGCCATAAATTTGCCTAGACTGAACTACTTTCTCCTCCTCCCACTCTCTGCCAAAGCAGATATGAAAATTGCTGATAATCGATTAATTTCGAACTTTTCGCAAATGATTTTTTAGAATGTATCCTAAGGAAATGTATCATTCAAGCACTCAAATATACACATGAAAAGGTTTTTATTGTATCATTGTTTTAGAATAGTGAGAAATTTAAACAACGTAGATGAGGGATTGTATAAATAAAATACGATGCATTCACTTATTGGAATACTATGTAGGCAATAAAGATTATGACATGGAAATATGTTTATGATATGAGAAAAAAGCTTATCATATAACATCTAAATTTTGTAATAAAGTATTACAAGTAAGTATTTAAAAAAACAGTCTGAAACCTGATAATGCTGAAACATGACAATGGTTATTTCTGAATGTTTGGA